CGCCGTCGGGACCCGAACCGGCCACGAGCCTGCAGGTGATCAGACCACGGAGATTTGTAATTTTGGGTTTTAAAAATAACACTCGATCCGGAGAGGAGAACATTTCTGGGCGAGCATCCCCGGGCGAATCCCGGAGAAGGGAGTTCCGGGCGCGACTCAGGGCAGCTGGTCCCGGCGTCGGGAGGGTTCCCCGGGGCCGCCGGCTGCGGGTGGGTTTCAGCTCCATCCTGAAGACCAGCCACCTCCGGACGCCCCTTCACCCCGCCTCACCCCGTTCCCAGAAAGCTCGGGTCTGATCTCCACGCCGCACAAAGGACCCCCCAGCGAGTCCCAGCGGCAGCGGAGCCGTCGCGGGCGCCCAGGGCAGCGGCGCGCGGGGCCTCGCCGTCCCTTCCTGCGGGGCGGGGCGGGGGGGCGGCGGCCGCCGGGAGGCTGCGCCAGCCTTGGAGGATGCCCAGGAGCCCGCGGGAGCCGCTCCCCAGCAGAACTTTTTAGGCTTCCCGCCCCGGATCCGCGCACTCCCGGGGCTGCGCACCGGTCGGTGGGGGGGGCTTCACCACGCGGGCCCCCCCTCCTCCCGTCCCCTCCTCCCGCGGTCCTCTCCCGCAGCTCGGGCGGGCTCAGGGAGGGAAGGCGAGGCGCGGCGGATCATGCCCATGGTGTAGCCGCCCAGCGGAGGCATGGCTGCCGGAAGGTTACTGCTCTACACGGGCCTCTCGCTAGCGCTCTGCGCCCTCGGCATGCTGGCTGTGGCCATCTGCTCCGACCACTGGTACGAGACGGACGCCAGGAAGCACAGGGACAGGTGCAAGGCCTTCAACACTCGCCGAGTGGACCCGGGCTTCATTTACAACAACAATAACAACTTGCCTCTCCGGGCCAGCCGCTCGCGCCTGGACCGCTGGGAGGGCAAACTCCTCCGCGCCCGGAATCGCCGGCAGCTCTTCGCCATGAGCCCCGCGGACGAGTGCAGCCGGCAGTACAACTCCACCAACATGGGCCTCTGGAGGAAGTGTCACCGGCAAGGCTTCGACCCCGAGATCGCAGCCCTCATCCGGAAAGGTAAGCGCCCAGGGGCGCGGCGTGGCGCCTCGAGGTAGGCCCCGCGGCCACCTGCCACCCCCCCATCTCCTCATGGGGGGGGGCGGGGGAGGTGGGGATCCAGGCATCCACAGGCCGGGCGGAGGCTCGGAGAGGACAGGACTTGCCTGTCCGTGGGCTGGTTTGCGGCACTGGGGCAGGGGCTCCGGCTCTGCTCCGCTGCGGTCTTGTGTCTTATCTGGGCCGGCTCACCTGGCTTCTCGTGGCCCCTAGGATACGGGGCTACCCCGGCCTCACAGAAAAAGAAGGGACCCCATCACGTGGGGCTTCTAGAGGAAGCCCCGGGAGGCGTGGTGGTGCCAATGGGGGGGGGGGGGAGAACAGATTCGGAATGGTGATCTTTGCTCGCCACATGGAACTGATCCGAATCGAGGGGGAGATAGTAGGGAAGGTCTCACGCCGAGGCCTTGCTCTAAGGAAGCGTGGTCCCAGGCCCGGCGCGGGGCCGGCGCGCGTCCACGGCAGTCGGTGAGATTCCCCAGCCTCGGCCGCAGCTTAAAGCCTGTTGGTCCGGAGCACGATCTTCCAGTCCTTTATTTCTCCTTTTGAAAAAGTCGTGGGCGACAGCGATCGTGTGCAGCGAGTATCAGCAGGGTCTCATAGACGCCAGAAAAGTAGCGCCAAAGCGGGCACTTCAGAGCGAAAGGAATGCCATTTTCTGAAGATTTATATATTTTAAAAAAGGCCCCAAGTAGACTACAACAGGAAACAGGCTGCACTTGGATAGTGGTAAAATTGGTTACTTTAATATGACTACCTACATTAAGAAAAAAATTCTGCCTCCTGGGTACAGTTTGTAAATCCTGTATGATTTCTATGTTGGAGGCTAGCCTCTTCCATCAGCCTACTGAAATATAGTTAGCTGTAATGCTTCTCTGAAGAGCATATGTTCTCTTCCATGGAGGCCTGTCTGGGAAGATGTGTAGCTTGTTATGTGTTGCTTCTATTATCTCCATGTTTTACTCTCTCCAACTATCACATAGTCATTCCAGGGTGGTGAGCGTGCAGTGCCATCATTTGCAAAGTACTCTGAGGCCAAGACATAAGACAATTCTTCATTTCTCTTACTTATAAGGCTGTGAAGTTTGCTGGTTTAAAAATAATACTTGTAAGGACCGATGTGCTTGGATTCATGCAGGTGTTAAAATGGATCAGAAAAAAAAAATCGGTGAATTTGAGAAAGCCAAGTCAGTAGGTACGCTCTGGAAAGCCAGTTCACATTTCTGAGGTGGGGGATGGCCGGAGGGAGAATACATCTTGGTGTTTGTAGTGGGGATTGTTTAGCATGACTAGGAGATTTCAACCGATTTGGTTCTGTGTGTGACCTCTTCTCGTGACAAGGCTGTTGTCTGGAATGCCACAATTTTGTAAAGGTATACAGGATGTGAGAGGATTCCAGAAGAACAAGTGTTGGGCTTGGAAAACAAGAGGAAGTAGAATCGTTTTGACAATGGCTGACTTTATCCCAGTTTTCAGATTTATAAAGTGGTTCCTTTCTCCGTCATGTTCTGCTTTCTTTAAAATCGAAATGGTAGGGAGTTAGCTGAAATGTGGGGGAGAATTCTTGTCAACATGACTGGAAATAGGAGCAGGATTTTCTGAAGGGCATTCTTGAATTTCCTTCCTTGAACCTTGTAGAATGAGACAAATATCTTGTGTCTGGTACTGGCTGACCTCACTTGGAGAAAGGGGGCATGGGATTCATGGCTTCTGGTGGCTCCTTCCAGGTCTCTGATTCTGTGATACTCTGCTTGGCAATTGGACTAGAAAGGTTGACTTGGTCTGGGCACCAGAGGGATTGGTTACCATAGTGACATGTTCTTCCGGTGAAGCTGGAAACACAGTGAAGAGGAAAGGGATAGGGGAAGAATGTACAACATTTTGACTTGATATCGACTGATTTTTAATTGCAGCAACAGAAAATGGACAGGCACAGCAGGGGGATTGAATACACTGATACCTAGAGTTGGCAGGGCATTGTATTTCACTTGAACTAATGGAAATGCTGTTCCCCATCACCCCAAATACAGCAATCACTGTCAGCTGCAAAGCACCCGCTTACTATGGCTGTTTCTGTCCATTTGACATTCTTGTTAGGAATTATTGAGATAGATGGCATGCCAGCCTTACAAATCTTGAGAGGCTTAAGGTCACTATCTTCATTTTTAACCTCAGAACACACACACACACACACACACACCACCAGACACACACACACACACACACACACACACACACACCACCAGACACACACACACACACACACACACACACACACCACCAGAGCTTTCTTTTCTTAATAGCAATAAACACATTTTGGAAAGAAGTTGATCTTATATCATTAGAATTCACAGGCAAATCCAACAACATATATTACGTAATTTCTCCACTTAATCAATGTTCTTCCTAGGGGGAAAGTTTTATAAGGAAGCTAAAAGGAAATTGATACCTGTATTTAGATTTAAGACATCTTCTAAAATGAGATAGAAGATATTTATCTTATGTTATTCATGAGAGGTCTCAAATGACATCATAGACCTTTGTCTTTTTTGTAATTTTTTAAAGTAGAAAAATTAAAAGTAAATATAAAAATAAATAAATTTAATATATTATAAATAAATTAATATTAATATTTAATTGATATTAAAATTATAAAGTAAAAATATTGAAATTCTGGAAGAAGTGTTTTGGACAAGGGGAAAGGAAAACCAGAGAAACAGATTGCTTAGTAATTTATCAATATTATGCTAAGATAAGAGATTTAGGTAAATGATCCTGTAGTCCCAAAGATCTCAGTCATTTGTTAAATCAATGTTTGTTACATTAGAGTGTTCTACTTACGTATTTAAAAATACTACAAGCCCGGTGCTGGCAGCTCATATCTGTAATTCTAGCTACTCAAGAGGCTGAGATTTGAGGATTGATGTTTGAAGCCAGCAAAGGCAGGAAAGTCCTTGAGACCCTTATCTCCAATAAACTCAAAAAAGCCTGTAGTGGTATTGTGGCTCAAGTGTTAAGAGTGCTATCCTTGAGCAAAAAGAAGCTCAGGGACAGTGCCTAGGCCCTGAGTTCAAGCCCCAGGACCAGCAAAAATAAATAAATAAACAAAACCACCAAATTAATAAGAAGAGCCAAATCTGTATCTGATCTGAAGATAAGGCCCTTGGATTCACATTCTTCCTGAAATCTTTGTTTCTCAGTGAATTACTGCCATGGTTCTATCCACAAATGGAGCACTGTGCATTTGTTTTCATGAACAAACTTGAAGTTCCTGGAGGGTAGGAAAGACAAATACTTGTAAAATAGAGAATATTTCATAAAAATTAACTTATTTTTTTAAAATTAATGTTACCTTTTGTTCATGTGATACCAAGGAATCAAACCCAGGGCCTCATGCATGTGAAGCAAGTGCTCTATCATTAAGCCACAATTCCTAGCCCCAAGAGCACCTTCTAATGATAGAAATTAATACCTAATTTTAGAGAATTCCAATAAAAGATTATTTCAAAAATTATGATTAAAAAATTCAGCCAAAGGCCTGGTGCTGGTGGCTCACGCCTGTAATCCTAGCTACTGAGGAGGCTGAGAAATGAGGATGGCGATTCAGAACCAGCCCGGGGAAGGAAAGTCCATGAGACTCTTATCTCCAATGAACCACCAGAAAACTGGAAGTGGTGCTGTGGCTCAAATGGTAGAGCTGTTGCCTTGAGCTGAAGAGCTTAAGGACAATGCCCAGAGTTCAAGCCCCATGATTAACAAAAACAAACAAACAAAAATCCTACAAATCCCCAGCTAGATTGGCAATTAGGACCGGTTAACATGGAGATAAATGCTGGTAATGCAACAAAGAAAGATTTGCTGAGTAAAAGCATTACTCAGGAATGGGGGAATCACCCAGTTCTTTTTGGATAACATATGCCAACACCCATTATTTTTCATGTTCAGTAAGATTACATTTATTTTCTTCTTGGAGGTAGGATTGGGGTCTCTTTGGATTGGATAGATAGATAGGATAGGTGATAGATAGGAACGAAGGATAGATGAATCGCTCCCAATTCCCATAAGGAGTCTTAAATTAGGAACTCTCAGCTTCTAAATCTCATCCCTGTCTCCCTGAAAAATTACTGTAAGACCTGGAAACCGATCTCTGGTAAGAACAGCTTTGAAATCCAAGAGACATCTAGGCCCTCAAGAGGAGGCAGCTGTAGGTGGGATTTTGTTGCCACGCCCGTTTGTGTTCTTTGGTTTGTACTGACACATTATGTTGTTAGGTTCTGAAATAAATAGACTTTCAACTTATACTCTAAGAACTTCTTAGTTAGAAATTTATAATGGACTTTGACCCAAACAATAATTATGAAGTGGTTGTCAGTACTCTGAAAATTTTTTTAGAACATTGTGCATAGTTATAATTTAATAATTTATTCAGCAAAGATCTATTGCACAAATATTATGTGACAGCTTGGCAGACATAACTAGAATGAAAGGATGAATAAGACCAGGACCTCAATTAACTTTCTCTCTTTCTTTCTTTCTTTCTTTCTTTCTTTCTTTCTTTCTTTCTTTCTTTCTTTCTTTCTTTCTTTCTTTCTTTTCTTTCTTTCTGTCAGTTGTGAACTCAGGGCCTGTGCCCTGTGTCTGAGCTCTTTTTGCTCAAAGCTAGTGATCTACTACTTTGAGCCACAGCTTCACTTCCAGTTTTTGAGTTCATCGGAGGTAAGAGTCTCATGGGGACTTTTTCTGCCTAGGCTGGCTTTGAACCATGATCTTCCAATGTCAGCCTCCTGAGTAGCTAGGATAACAGGAGTGAGCCATCAGCACCTGGCTCAAAATTCTTAGAGACTCTTAGTGTTACAGAGACTAAAATGTAACAGCAGCGTAATGACAGCACCCCTTAAAATGTACTGAAAGAAACAAAGTGCGGGGGGCGGGGGGTGGGGGGGGACAGTGGTAGCAGCAGA